CTATGAGGGAGAGGGAGTGAAAGACGGAATGAGTGAGTGAGAGAGAACCATTACTTGCATATCATTACCCCTACTGCTATTACTACTACTGCTACCACTACTATCACCACTACCAGTACTACTACTACCACCACTACTGCTGCTACTAGAGAGGTTAAATGCGGAAGACACATTTAAGTTAAATCAAATCAAAATCAAATTGTATTTGCCACATGCGCCGAATACAACAGCTGTAGACCTTACAGTGAAATGATTACTTACAAGCCCTTAACCAACAATGCAGTTAAGAAAAATAAGTGTTAAGAAAAAAATTAAAATAACAAATAATTAAAGAGCAGCAGTAAAATAAAATAAACAGTAGGGAGGATATATACAGGAGGCACTGGTACAGAGTCAATGTGCGGGGGCACAGGTTAGTCAAGGTAATTGAGGTAATATGTACATGTGAGTAGAGTTATTACTGACTAGGTATCCCCTTTCCTTTCTTTCTACCACCACTACTACTGCTACTACTACTACTGCTACCACTACTTCTACTGCTACCACTACTACTACTGCTACCACTACTACCACTACTACTGCTACCACCACTACTACCACCACTACTACTGCTACCACCACTACTACTGCTACCACCACTACTACTGCTACCACTACTACTACTGCTACCACTACCGCTACTACCACTACCACCACTACTGCTAACACCGCTACTACTACCACTACTATTACTGCTGCTACCCCTACCACTGCTACTACTACCGCTACTGCTACCAGTACTGCTACCACTACCACTACTACTTACACTGTTACTACTGCTACCACTACTACCGCTACTGCTACCACTGTTTCTACTACTACCACTTCTACTACTACTGCTGCTACCAATACTACACTGTTATTACTACTACTACCACTACTGCTATCACTACTACTACTACTAATACTGCTACTACCACCACTACCAATACTACACTGTTATTACTACTACTAGCACTACTACTGCTACCAATACTACACTGTTATTACTACTACTACTACCACTACTACCGCCACTACCACTGTTACTACTACCACCACTAATGCTACCACTACTACTGCTACTACTACTACCACCACTGCTGCTACCACTACCGCTGCTACCCCTACTACTGCTAGTCACACCATTGTTGTTATATGTGTACTTTGACAATGTAAGTAATATAACTTGCCATGTCAATAAAGTCCACTGAATTGAATTGAGTCAATGAAAGAGGGATGTAGAGGGGAAGACTGGTCCTGAATGCATTAAGGGGCTTGTGATGACTGACAGAGGCCAGAAGGTCACTGGGATTAGGGTAATGGTCCATTGATAATAACATTATTAGAAGGCTAGAATAGCGACGGAGCACAGAGCCTAGCGTGGCCTATTGATGGGCCTGACTGGTGCTAGGGTGGGTAGTAGGGTGAGTCAGCACTAAGGCCTTCAGCCTTTCCTTAATTAAAAATACCTGTCAAATTAATTCAAATCAATCCAAATGACTACTGCCACCAACATATTTAATTAAGGTAGGCTTTTTAATCACAAACTGCCCCTGTTGAATCTGCATTGGCCTAGTCTTTGGAGACTTCAACAGGCACAGATCCTGAAGTTTCCTCACTTTTCTCTCCCCTCCCCCCTCCCCCCTCCTATCATCTCCCATCCCATCCTCTCCCCTCCTCTCCTCTCCCCGTGTCTGTTAGGAGGAGCAGATGGTAGCTGTTACCTACCAGAGAGAGCAGCTCCGACACACGCAGCGATGTGTGTGTACGTAGCCATACGTAAAGCCTTCGGTCTCACACCTTAACCTACCCTCTGCGTCTGACAACGTGTGGAAGGGTGTGTGAATACCAATTGGTAAGTCATAAAGATTGTAGACTTCGAGGTCAATTTGTGTATTGGATATCATTCTATAGGTTAAGCCATGTATGGAATTAATGTCAGTTTAGTATCTGGCAGGTAAATCATGGAGATGCACACTAGGAGTGTGAGACAAGACGCCCCCCCCCCCCCCCCCCACCCCACTACACCTCAGAAGACCTCTCTCTCTCTGCTTCTCTCTCTCTTATAATATGCAGCCAAGGGCCCCTAGAGATGGCACTCTCCGATTTCCTTTGTAGAGCAGAATAATGTGATCCTTTCAGTGAGGCTCCCTCCCCCGCTTTAGTCTGAGATTGATTGCCAACACCTTACCCCCGCTTCATACTCCCTCTCTCTGTAGGCCTAGTGCTGCGGCAAAGCACTGCGTGGCGTCCTGAAACGCCTCCTGTGAATTTATTAGTTTCGAGGTTACTTAATCCACTTTAAAGTTTTTTTCCCCTCTTCCTGCCCAAACTAGAAATCTGCGTGTCACCACTACAAGCGCTTTACGCACACAGCCTACACCTCCCCCTTGACAGGCACATGAATACTGTATATATGCCTACGTGCGAGAATGTGCGCGCACGTCTTTATGACAGCAGTAAAAATGTGATGCAGAGAGCGTGCATGTCCCCCTCCCTCCGCCTCCCAACAGATGCGCCTTCGCACTGCCGCCAATGCTTCCGTTATCGCTCTCCCCCTCGCTCCGCGCTCCAGAGCCTCCAATGTCACAGCTAATAGATACGCGGGGGATTAGCCCGCGTGCTAGCGCCAATCTGATGACGGGAAGGAAATAATTACCCCACTAATGTAATTTATAGTTTTTTAATTAAGTAGCCTACACACATTTAACCCCAAAAAAGACCCGGAGTGGGAAAATCTAGTCAAACCTCGCTAATTGGAGTGGCAGAAGAGAAAACGTTACCGGTTTGCTTAATTGATAATGATAGCCTAAATCAAAAAACGGTTTGATTATTTATAATATTGATGTCTGATTTTGGATATAGGCGCTAGCCTACATTTCAAATACGCCTATTTTATCGGACCATGCTAGCACACGGGTTATACATAGGCTAGTCAATATTTTTGGAAATCAAATATGAAGGGGGGAAAGTGTGTTGCCTAGGGGTTGCTTTCATGTTCTTATACTTAGGACATTACACACCGGAGGTAAATCAACAAGACCTACAAGCGTCAGAGCAAAGGTTTATTTTTGATGTATTGGAGCTAGAAAAGGATAACAGATTAAACAACATGCATCTGGCGCAAACAGGCTTTCCTGCGGTCAGTGCCATAACCAGGCGCTGCTATGCAGCGGTAGATTGTGTCAACTTGTTGACGTGTTTGTTGTTCTGCCTGGCTTTGTAAAACATTGATCTGGATATTATGCGAACACAAACCAGGAGATATGACTAGCAGCACACCACACAGATATAATTAATCTTCCGCTATTTCAAGGCAACAACCACCACATGGAATAATAAAGTAGGTCCTATTTCCCCCCACATTCTGACAGAATGTTCTACTTAACTACAGAGGACTGTGTGTGTGTGAAGGGAAGGGCGCAATAACAATGTAAGTGTTTGGGATCCTGGGACAAGGGTTAGCCTAATTTTGACTCGAGCCAAACTATTCCTGCACGCAACACGACGCATGTTCTTCCTCTTCCTATTTATAAAACAAGATCAACCAAGGATGGAAAGTCTAGTGCCCTGAGAGCGGAGTGGAGCGCGAGAGAGCCAGCGTGGCACGTTAAAACCAGGATTCAACACACACAAACAAACCACCAAGATGACTGCAAGAGAAAACAGTGAAAGCTGTTTGGGACCACTGTATTTCTAGACTAGATTATCCAAAAATGGGGAGGTAGGTTATTCATAGTGGCAAATGTGAATAAAGTATTTTTCAGACCTTATAAATAGGCTTGACAAGCTGTGTTTTTCCATAGTCCTGGTTGGGAGATTCCAAGAACAAGGCAGGAATAAGCAGGAAATCTGGAATCCTACAACCAGAACTTCTGGAAAACCTGGACATTTTGGGAAAGTTACCAGAATTTTACAAACCTAAAAATGGAAATGATTAAGATGAATAAAATACGATAAAGGTTCACTTTTATTGCCATTTATTTAAAGGAACTTTTTTGTAAAATATAAATACAAATAATAGTGTATTTAATTACAAAGTTTAAACACTTACATTGCCAAAACAAAAAGTTAATCAAACACCCCAGTCAGAAAAACAGTTACTGAAATGGTCATCTTATTTACAAGTTCAAGCATGAATCTCACTCTTCAATTGACGTGACATGTAGTATCTTACATTAATATTTTACAAAAAACCCACATCAAATATCTTAATTCCTCATCGTCATAAATACAAGACAAATAAAGCTAGGTTTTTAGACACAATGTCGAAAATAAAATCCCCAAATCTTTGGGATGAGCCATGAGTGCTAAAATGTTTGTCACAGTTTACCTCTATATCTATGAACCACCTGACAAAGTCAGATGGGTCGGTAAAGCTCAAATCAAGTGCACTGCCATGATCCAAAGTCAAACAATAACCTTTACCTCAGAGGTCCACATTCAACTCACATTGCTCCTGACCTGTTCACTAGCCTAGTCCCTGCACGTCAACCCAAGCAGTGGCAAAACCGACAACCTGACCAAAACATGACAACCAATGCAGCAGATATACAGTATGGATATACATATATATATATAACAAATCAAATCAAATCAGCTGTTAATGTATACATATACATATATTTATTAAAAAAATTCAGTCCTTTGCGTGGCGCTGGGTCCGTTTCCTCTTTGAAGGGATATTGTCCAGTGTTCTAATGTCCAGTCCTCACAGGGCATGGGAACGTACACTAGATACACATGGAGTATGTGTGTGTTGGCTACGTCCCAATACTCTCTCCTTCCTCCCAAAGTGTGCACATGTTCACTTCCCTTCACCGATTTGAAAGGAAATGACTGGTATAAGAAATATGGTGGAAAACTACCACTAGCCAAATATCTGCACCAGATTTGTGGGAACTAGTGAAGGAGTGTCCACTTCAGGTAGAGAGTAGATCTTATTGGGACTCACCCTCGGTGTGTGTATCTCAGGGTCACGAGCGGGCCTTAGCTTTGGCCCGGGCCACTTTGGGCTCCCATCGGCTGTCCAAACACTCTAGCGAGGAGCCGAGCAGCGCGGCCAGCTCCGAGCAGGTCTCAACCAGGTCCAGCAGCTCCTTGCTGTCGGGGAGGAAGGCGGCGAGCTCGTCGGGGCACGAGAAGAGCTGCGACAGGGATGCCTGCTTGTAGAACTCCGCCTCGGCGATGGTTGCTACCTCCAGGTGGGCAAAGGCTGCCCTGAAAGCCCTGGAGGACATTCTGAGTCTTTTCAGGACATCTGATAGGAGCAGCCAGTTTCTGGGACTGAGGGGGGGAAGAGAGAGAAGGAGAGGGGGAGAGAGAGAGGGGGAACGGGTTAGCACAGCTCTACACTTGTGATGTGAGACCGGTGGCTCCAGCTTTTCAACACTTGCTGTAATTATGGGCTGTAGCACCGTGGTTGGGGTTTTCAACATCTGTCACACACGTATAAACACAAAGGCTTTTCTGGGGGGCGCTCTGTGAATTCAGTTGGTGTGTGAATAATCCTTATGTGAGAATGGATGTGTGTAACCCCCCCCCCCCCCCCCCCCCCCACACACACACACACACACGGTAGGGTAGGTGACGAACAACATGCGCTGTTCAATCGATAGCACTTGAAATGGTTAGATGTGTAGCGTTGCGGCTGGGGAGCAGCTGAATGGGGAGAGGAGTGGAAAAGCAAGTGCTGCCGAGGGCCTCCGTGTGTGTGTGTGTGTGTGTGTGTGTGTTTGTGAGCGCAGGCCGGCCTCACAGCCCAGGAGATCCATTAATACTGCATCAGCCAGAAGAGCAGAGCGAGCCGAGAGAGACAAGAGGAGAGAGCGAACGAGAGCAGAGAGAGAGAGAGAAAGTGGGGGAGGGGAGCTCCGCTGAGAGATAGAGAGAGAGAGCGGAGCCGAGCGGTGCTCAGACTGAAGATTACACAGAACAGTGCGCTGCAGCCAAGACGGAGAGAATGAGAGAGAGGGGAGGAAGAGAGAGAGGGGAGGAAGAGAGAGAGTGGAGGGAGAGAGGGTGTGTGACGAGGCCAGGAGGAAAACGGTGTGGGAGGCAATTAGCGCTGTCTGCATTCACATACGTCTCTAGCTAACGGCAGTCCGCCGTGCTGCGTAGCTTCAATCTCCATCTTCCCCTCTATATTTCTCTCAGACCCAGCCCTCTACAATCCTCCGAGCAAGCCTTTCTCCACCAGCCCCTATCAATCCTCCCCGCTTCGCCACCATCCCGCGAGCAATCGCCCTCGGGCGACAAACATCCCTCTAGCAAGCCTCCCCCGCGGGCTACCAGCCCCGAGACATCCTCCGACCAGAGCGAGCAGACGCAACCCGCCCGCGAGCAAGCCGCCCCGCTCACCATCCCTCGATCAAGCGCCCGCTCGTCGACAATCAAACCACTCATCAATCATCCTCCCCTCCTCCACCACATATCAATCCTCCCCTCTCTTCTCCACCATCATTATATCAATCCTCCCCTCTCTTTCTCCACCATCATCAATCCTCCCCTCTCTTTCTCCACCATCATTATATCAATCCTCCCCTCTCTTTCTCTACCATCCCTCTATCAATCCTCCCATCGTTCTCTCTAACAATCCCACTCCTCCTGTCTCTCCCCACCCTCTCTGTTCCTCTCCATCTCTCTCTCTCTCTCTCTCTCTAACCCCCTCATTTTTCTTCTTCCTCATATCAGAGCAACCCACAGTATTAAAGAGCTCTGCTTCTACTAGTCTCCCTCCCTTAACATAAATAATTTCCTCCTGTGGCGAGCCCCCCGGCTAATGACCCCCCCCCCACCCCCCCCCCTCCCTGTCGGTGTGACTAATGACCCCTTCCTCCTCTCCTCCCTCCCCCAGGTCGGTGTGACTAATGACTTTATCGATACCCTGGTCATAATGATCTCTCCTCTCGTCTGCTTAATAACACACTGGAACGGGGGAGAGGAGGGACGGATGGAGGGATGGAACCCAACATGCAGTGAAGTGTAAGGGACTGGTGAGAACAACAACACTATCATAATGTGGCTGGGCTGGGCTTGGTAACGGTGACAATACTGTTGTAATGTAATGGGTGGTCACAGGTGGATGGACTAAAGCTAATTATTTTGCTTACTGCAGGACAGAAACCTATTAAAAACTATAGTCGGAACTGAAAGGAAAAAGGGTATTTCTGGGGCTCATAACGACACACACTTACCCCTGTGAGAGGGAGACCTGGATGTTGTAGCAGGGGAGGAGGGGTCGGTCAGAGAACTCAAACTCAAATCCCTGCCTGGTGTCCTCCTCCTCCTCCTCTCCTGGTCCTGGGGGGTTAGCCAGGATGTCATAGGCTGCTGGGTCCTCACCTGACTCTGCAACACACACACAAACACGGTTAGAACACTATTCTGGAGCGATGAAGACACACAAACACGGTTAGAACACTATTCTGGAGCGATGAAGACACACAAACACGGTTAGAACACTATTCTGGAGTGATGACCAAACACACGGTTAGAACATTATTTTGGAGTGATGACCAAACACACGGTTAGAACATTATTTTGGAGTGATGACCAAATACATGTTTAGAACATTATTGTAGTGATGAGTGAACACACACACTGTTACAACACTTGTCTGCATCAATGGAGATGACTGGAGAGCACTACACACATCTTAAAAAACTCAAAGAGGTGTGCACATACAAACATTCCAAATGATATGCACATGTCTGTCTGTCTACACCTGCACCCCCCCACCCCCCCGAACACACACAGCCAGGGTTGAGCTAGAGATAAATGCCTGTGGCAGATAAGGTCAGCCTCGTCAAACAGACAGTCAGAGCATTGTGCTGCTGGCTGTACTCCCTTCTCTCTCCCTCCAGTGATCGCATGAAGCAGCCAGGTGTTGCCTTGGGGCGCCTAGCTCCACTCTGCCCACCGAACCGACCGCAGGGTGTGTGTGTGTGTGTGTGTGTGTGTATCAGTGTGTTGAATAATGCAGGTGTGGAGCGATCCTAGCAGCCATCCAGCCCCACTCCATCCACTGCTGCCTTCACAGGACTAGGGATGGTATTAGCATGGACAGAGGGAGTGGGAGTGAAGGAGAAAAGGTTAGAGGGAGGAGAGAAGAGAGTTGGCTTTCCTAACAGCTGGAGTGGGGCCCATTCTGCAGTAGCCCCCCCCCCCCCCCCTCTCGCTCTCCGCTCAAACCTCCACAGCATCACTAGTTAAACCGGTGACCTTGCTGCATGGCATTGAGATCCACGTATCTCAGTTGGTTGGAGAAAAGGTTGCGAGTTCGATTTCCACATGGGCCATCAATATTGATCGTATGCAATACGTGAGCCACTTGTGGTTTGGAGATCGGAGGGGAGGCAGGCAGGAGGGGAGATGGCATGAAAGTGTAGCTCGCTCCGTAGCTGGGAGGGAAAATCTATCAGAGACAAGACACTGTTCTTTTTCTTATTTGGTCCTCTCCTGGATCAACGCTCGTCTACTCCCAGAAGACTCCCACAGAGATTTACCTGAGGGTCTTTCTCTTTCTTCTTCCTGTTCCTCCTCCCTCTCTTCTCCTGTCTCCTGTGTGTGTGTGTGTGTGTGTGTGTGTGTGTGTGTGTGTTTGTACTCACCACACACGGCGCTGCCATAAAACTCCCAGTAGATGCCTTCGTCATGGTCTTCACGCCCCTTCAGGTCAGAAAAATACTCTAGAGAGAGAGAGATGGAGACACGTTACGCTATAAACAGGGACAGAGAGCGAGAGAGAGAGAGAGAGAGCGAGAGAGAGACATGTTACAGCTATAAACAGGGACAGAGGAGAGAGATGCATCTTGTTGTAGAAGAGACGTCTGGCTCTGTATTGGCGAGACAGACACAGTGATGAAAAGAAAAGAAAAAACGGAGGATAGAGAAAGCTGCTGCTGCAGACGAGAGGAAAAGAGGACATGTAACCCTTCCCCCGGCCCCCACCCTCCCTGTTCCCTCTGACACACACAGCCTCACCGTGGAACAGGCGGAGCGCGGCAGTGTGTGAGTGCAGGCAGACATGCATCTCTAATCAGATTCCACTCGGGAGCCTTCAAAGCCACTAGAGAGCCATGCACGCGCACGCTCACACACACACACACACACACACACACACTTAAAACCACTGGGTGTTCATTCCACAGAGTGTTCATTTAAAAACGGCTCCGGCTGGTTGGACAGCAGGTCACTATGTTTTGCATTCTCTGTGTGTGTATGTTTATGTATGTGTTTGTGTGTGTGTGTGTGTTTGTGTTTGCGCACAGGGAGCCGGTGTGGGAGCGGGGGCAGCTGTGCGGTGGCTTGGCGTTGGGTGGGTAGTGTTGAGATGCCAGAGGCAGTAAGGGAGTGTTATGCCAGCTACAGCCATTCAGGGATTCAGCAGTTAAGCCTCATTAAAAACTCCACGGAGCGAGAGAGAAAGAGAGAGAGGTAGAGAGAGAAAGAGAGGTACTCGGGAGATGGAGAAAGGAGAGAGAGAGAGATGGAGGGAGAGAAAGGAGAGGGAAAGTTAGAAAGTGTGTTGTCTGTGTTGTGCTAGCTACTGATTAGAGAGCTCCCAGGGGGAGGGAACAGATTGGGGGAGGGAGTGGAAATCAGACTGGCAGACAGCACATCCAGACAAACCTGCTGATTTACCACGCCCCCCCTCTCTCTCCCTCTCCCTCCCTCCTCCACACTCCCTCTCTCTACCTCTCTCCCTCTCTCTACCTCCTCTCGCTCAATCTTTCATTCTCTTTCTTGCTCCTTCACGCTTGCTCAGTCTCGTTCCAGGTCTCTCTGTCACACTCCCCCCCCCCCCCCCCCCCCCTCTAGCTTTCATTCTCTCTCCCGTCTCTCACTCTCTAGCCCTTCACGCTCCCTCCATCTGTCTTTTAGTCGTACTCTCTCTCTATTTCACACTCACTGTCTCTAGCTTCCTTGCACTTGCCGTGTCTTTCACTCGCTCCGTCTCTCTCTCTCTAACGTGGTCTTACACAAAGCCTGAGAGTAGAGACGGGGAGAGGAAGGGAACGAGGGGACGGAAGGAAGGATGAATCAAGAGGAACGCTCCGGCTCAAGCCTGGGGGCCATTTTACCTCAACACCCCCTCTTCTCTCCCTCCATCCCTCATCCCAGCTCAGCCTGCAGCAAATTAGATATGTGGTAATACTAGGTAATACTAGGGGAAATACTGGTCACTTAACCCAAACAGCAACAGCAATGAGATCATTAATATTACACTGCAACGCCACTGAGTGTGTTCATATTTTAGTGCTGCTTGTTGTATAGACGCACCTCTGCAGTGTGTGTGTGTGTGTGTGTGTGTGTGTGTGTGTGTGTCAGCAGGGTATAGCTGAGCACTGCGCTCCCCATAGCTCTTAATGACAGGCTGGCTCTGTGGCCGTGCTGCTCTGTGGCCGTGCTGGAGTTTGCGGGGGAAGCAGCCGTTTTAAATGCTAAGTGGGAAGTGGTGATTAGGGGAGGAGAGCGGAGGGAGAGAGGGAGCGAGGGAGAGCGGAGAGGAGAAGAAAAGAGAGGAGAGGTGCTGGGCTCTGATTGCTACCCCCGTCCACCCCTCCTCTCCCCCGGCTCTCTGCTCTCCCTGGGTAATGTGGGTCACGATGTTGCAGCACTCAGCGCTCAGGGCAGTGTGTGTGTGTGTCTCTCTACCGACACACACCGCCGATGTATTATATCACCACAGATACTTCCAGCTCCACACACAGACACGGAAACACACTGCTATTTCAGCTGTCGTCTCGTTAATCTGACATTTCCACGGCGTTCGGGAACGAGGGATCTACCTCGCAAATAAACAACAGGATTAGGGAACAAAGTCCCAGAGAATCCCTGTAGAAGGCCTAGAGGCCAGGGAGGGAGGGAGGGAGGGTGGGCGGGAGAGAGGGAGGGCGGGAGAGAGAGGAGAGGACAGGGAGGGAGGGACTCAGGGTTCTGGGGTGCTCCTAGTGGGCAGGTTTATGTAAAATAGTATCAACTCATCAACACTTGAGGATTAGTGAGTGGAGCGAGGCAGAGGGGGCTGGAGCTGTAGCAGCACTGTGGGCCACCGTGGATTTCAACTGAAGGGGGAAATGGAAATTCACTTTCCTCTTTCTAATCCCCCCTTTTGCCTAAATGGATTGGATTTGTTGTGCGTTTTCTCACCCTCTCTCTGGGAAGCACAGATCAGGTTAGGTGAGTGGACTGAACTAGGCACCGTTTGGCAATCGCTGCTGGAGTGTGTGTAAGAGAATGAAAGTGTGTGTCTATGTGTGAGAGAGTGATAGTGTGTGTGTGTGTGGGTGCCAGAGCAGGGCTGATTAATAAAGCCCTGAAATAGCCAGGGAGGAGGAGAACGGACAGAGAGAGGAAGAGGGAGAGCGGTAGGGAAGCTAGCTCACTGCGGTGCTCTCAAGCACTCAATGGAACACTGTCCTCTACTTCCCCTTGGAATATCTCCTCACCATCCATTTAAACTGTGTGGTGCCTGTGGTGTGTGTGTGTGTGTGTAGTGAGTTCCCTGTCCTGGCCCCATATCCAGTCAACCAAATCAGCTTGGCTCTATTGCAGACTCTCTCCCCTTGCTCCAGCCAAATGCTCCGCCACGCCCTGGATCCGAGTACCCCCCCCAACGATTTCTAGAGGTTTGGGCCAGAGCCAGAACACACGTGGGTAAAGCGGCGTTTTTTGGAAGTTCGTCATTAGCTTTGATACACCAATTGGTTTAGCGATGATCCAACCGCTGATGACTTTGTTTACTTGGTACAACAACCCTCATTTTGACGTCACCGCCAACGACCTCCCTGACGGCAGTCTCAGACTGTAGTATGTAGGGAACATAGAGCAGCGGAAAAATGCATTTTCAGTCGTCAGGCAATCTCTCCCCCATCACTGCACCGCTTACAGGGGCCAATCTCTCCCCCATCACTGCACCGCTTACAGGGGCCAGCCCTTAGTAAACACACACACACACAAATTCCAAATCTGCTTTAACCAGAGCCGATTTTCCCGGCGCCGCCAGAGGACGACCCCCTCTACAGCTGTTGCTAAGTAACCTGTTAGTGGGGTAACGAGAGGTGACTCCCGAGGATGATACTGTGTCCCCCACAGAGGAACACAAACACACACACTCTCTCTCTCTAAAGCGGTCTCACCAGAGAGGAATCCCTCCATGCCGTGGGAGTGTGTCATGCGGAGGAGGCTGCGGCCAGAGTAAGTAGCCAGGGTGGGGTCAGCTCCGTAGGACAGTAGCAGACGGACCACCTCCAGATGGTCATTCTCCACCGCGTCATGGAGGGGCCTGGGGATGGAGAGAGACACGGCACACACACACACACACACACACACATTATGGAAGGT